CCAAGGTACTGATCATCTGGTTCAACTCGGGTGGAGTCTTCGTGAGAATATCCCCTCCTGGGCATAGAGACTCGATCACCCTCTGGCTGTCTAGAGTGAGGGCGCTGTAGAAGTTTCCCACTGTGAATGCATCGCTGAAGCCATGATGGGGACACTGCCAGAGGTATCCCATGTACCGCTCCCATGCATCACGAAGTGAGTCATCCGGCTCTTGGCGGAAGTGAGTGATCTACCGCTGAATTTCTGTGGTCTTCGATGCCGGATAGTACCTGTGCACGAACTTGTCTGCCAGATCGTCCCAAGAAGTGATGGACAATGGGGCTGGGTCTCCAACCACCTCTTAGCATTCCCCGCCAGAGAATGGGGAAAGAGGTGAAGGCGGATTGCATCATCAGGGAAACCGTTAAGCTTGAACCCGTTCGTCAGCTGCAGAAAACGGGAAAGATGTGCCCGGGCCTCCTCATCCTTCAAGCCATGGAACTGGATGGAGGATGTAATGAGTTGAATCCAGCATGGCTTGATCTCAAAGTTGTTTGCTGGAATGGGTGGGTAGAGGATGACCGGGCGGATGTCAGCAATCAGTGGAGTGTAGTAGTACTCCAAGGTGGGACCCGGTGGTGGTGGTGAAAGCTGATTCACCGGGGGAGCCTATCGAGCATTCCCCGGTTGTGGGTTGGCTTCGCCTTCCATCTCGTACTCTTCCTCAGAATCGCTGGTCAAGTGGCCGTCTATGCGCTCTCCCGTAACCAGTCTAGCTCGCTGTTGTCTCCTAAGTTGGCAGCAAGTGCGTTCAAGCTCTGGATCCAACGCAGTAAACCTCCTGACTGGCTACGGGTCATGCACTATCTGCACACACTCAAGTAATGCAAACCCGTGAAGGCACAAGTGGGAAAGAACAAACAACCAATGCGAAAATGAAAATGCTAAAGTAACAGAAATCACTTTTCTTCAACAACCTAGCCGTCCCCGGCAACGGCGCCAAAAACTTGACTTCAACAACCTAGCCGTCCCCGGCAACGACGCCAAAAACTTGACTCACTTCTACTGTCACTCCAGGAATTGGCCAAGTGAAACCACTTCCTAAAGCGTAGTATAGCGGGTTTGGGTTTAATTATCAACCCGGGTCCTAGATCTGATGACTACTCAGTGATTTCTTGTTATCTAGCAATGAAACTTTAATGCAAGTCTAAACTAACAAACTAACAAAGCAAGTAAACTGTTGTATTCGGGTTAAGAGAGGTCACCCGGATATGGTTCCCCCTAGTCTGCAGTTAAGCCGGATTGTAATTACCAAGTTCAATTTCTATGATAGTCATACTGCGGAAGGTTCTCAAACAATCTGAAGTTTCGACTAAAGGTCTTCAGACCCTCTCAATCTGAGTCTCTAGCGGGCGACTAACCTCCACCGGAGTAAACAGATTGAGGCCCTAACGAACCAAACCTCCACTACCGAATTGAATTCAGTACAGAATAGTGAATTGGCTCCTCGACTAAAGTCACTAATTCACTACCTTCAATTAAGGATACTCTATTAACCTAGGCAGATATTCTCATTCTAGGTTAAAGCAGAAACAACAGGAATTTGATCATGATTCATGCCATTCAATCATTCAAACCTCAATCGAATATAATCAATTCATAGACAGTACTTGGGTTCATACAATCAATCCCAACATACAGAACTAGGGTTTCCCACACCCAGATGAATGGGAGAACTACTCCATGGAGAAAGAAGCAAAAGCAGAATCAGACGCGGAAATCATACTGTGAAGATGGATTTCTGCTCCTGGACGTTGAATCGGCACTTCTCCAAGCTCAAGCCAAGCTCCAATGGTGTTGAAGATCAAGCTAGGGCACTTGGAGGCTCTTGTTCGTCGCTTTCTCTCTCTAGGAATCACTCTGTCTCTCTAAAACTCGAATCCCCCCTCTTCTGGCTGAAAATCTGCCTAAAAGGGCATCAGTGGCCAAAGTACGGTCGAGGGCACGGCCGTGCTTTGCCTCAGCCCGCCCGTGCTTTAGCTAGGGTTAATTACACGGCCACAGAACACGGCCGTGTTCTGAAGGCCTCCTGCCCGTGTTTTTACTGCCGAACCTGTTCCCCTATATTCAATGCTTCGTTTCTCCCTCGTCCGGACTCTGAATCAGTCGCCGTTTGATCCCAGACGCTCGTAGTCTCGCCCTCTTTCTTTTCATGAACAACTTGCACGATTCTTTGTCTATAAAGTGAGGTAGAAATCCATTCTTCTTCAGGTCATGCCAGAGTTTCTTCTCCCGAATCGCCAATTGATCTCTGATTGACTTGAAACTTGCGCCTATGCTTCACTTTATGTGCTAGGACCTGAAATGTAACAAAGGAACACAACCTAGCGTAAAATAGGCCAAAGAAGCGATAATGCAAGCTTTAACGATCAAGAAGGAAAGGGGAAAAACATGTGCAAATATCGAGTCATCACTGCTAGAGAATGGGGGAAGAGGTTTAGGCGGATTGCGTCATCCGGGACACCGTTCAACTTGAACCCATTCGTCAGCTGCAGAAAACGGGAAAGATCCGGGCTTCCTCATCCTTCAAGCCATGGAACTGGATAGAGGGTGTAATGAGTTGAATCCAGCATGGCTTGATCTCGAAGTTGTTTGCAGGAATGGGCGGATAGAGGATGACCGGGCGGATGTCAGCAATCCGTGGAGTATAGTAGTACTCCAAGGTGGGACCCGATGGTGGTGGATGATGATGGGCCCCAGCTCCCTGGGGATTGGGGTCGTTCCCCAGGATCTGGTTCACCGGAGGTGGGTTTTGATCGCCTTCCATCTCGTACTCGTCCTCGGACTCGCTGCTCAATTGGCCGTCTCTGCGCTCCACCGTAGCCAGTCTAGCTCGCTGTTGTCTCCGAAGTTGGTTGCAGGTGCGTTCAATCTCTGGATCCAACGGCAGTAAACCTCCCGACTGGCTACGGGTCATGCACTATCTGCACACAATCAAGCAATGCAAACCCGTGAAGGCACAAGTGGGAAAGAACGAACACTCAATGCGAAAATGAAAATGCTAAAGTAACAGAAATCACTTTTCTTCAATAACCTAGCCGTCCCCGGCAACGGCGCCAAAAACTTGACTCACTCCTACTGTCACTCTAGAAAATGGCCAAGTGTAACCACTTCCTAAAGAGTAGTATAGCGGGTTTGGGTTTTATTGTCAACCCGGGTCCTAGATGTGATGACTACTCGGTGAATTCTCGTTATCTAGCAGTGAACTTTTAGTGCAGATTCAAGCAAACAAAAACACAAAGCAAGTTAAACGGTTGTTGAAGTCAAGAGAGGTCACCCGGATATGGTTCCCCCTAGACTGCAGTTAAGTCGGATTGCAATTTACCAAGTTCAGTTTTCATGAAAGTTATACTGGGGAAGGTTCTTAAACAATCTGAAGTCTCGACTAAAGGTCTCCAGACCCTCTCAATCTGAGTCTCTAACGGGCGACTAACCTCCACCGGAGTAAACAGACTGAGGCCCTAGCGAACCAAACCTCCACTACCGAATTTAATTCGGTATAGAATAGCGAATTGGCTCCTCGACTAGAGTAACCAATTCGCCACCTTCGATTAAGGATACTCTATCAACCTAGGCAGATATTCTCATTCTAGGTCAAAGCAGAAACAACAGGAATTTGATCAGGATTCAAGTCATTCAATCATTCAAACCTCAATCGAATATAATCAATTCACAAACTCTGTACTTGGGTTCATACAATCAGACCTAGCATACAAATCTAGGGTTCCCCATACCCAGATGAATGGGGGAACTACTCCATAGAGAAAGAAGCAAAAGCAGATTCAGACGCGGAAATCATACTGTGAAGACGGATTTCTGCTCCTGAACGTTTAATCGGCACTTCTCCAAGCTCAAGCCGGGCTCCAATGGTGATGAAGATCAAGCTATGGCACTTGGGAACTCTGGTTCGTCGCTTTATCTCTCTATGGATCGCTTTCTCTCTCAAAAAACTCGGAACCCTTGAAAGTTGGCCTTCTTTTCCTTTTATCAGCTGCCAGATCGCGATACCCGTTCGAAATACCCGGTCGGGTATTTCGGGTTTCGACCGGGTATATACAAAACGTGCCGTTTCATCCAGGGGAAAATCCCCGGTCTCTTTCCATAATCCCCGACCGGGGATTTTAGCCAATTGCTCGGGCCCCCTTCTGTTTCTCACGGGGCGCCCAAAGGAATAATACTCGGCCGGGTATTCTTGGTCATGGCCGGGTATTTTCATCCATCAGTCTCCTTCGTCCCAACTTTGCCCCTTTCGACCCAGAACTCGTTTCTCCGCCTCGATTCCAACGCCGGGTCCTGAAATATGATATAAACACACAACCTAGCGTGAAATCGGCTTAAAACACGAGATTCCACATCACAAACGGCTTCAGAATAGGGGTGAAAACATGTGTAATAGGGTTCCTCACCCACATCTCAAACCCCATGATTCTCCTCCATCAAAATTTCCCAGCCACCGAAACCTCCCCGGAAGTCGCTCTCCGCACATACACAACGCCATCCAGCTCCGTTCTCCTCCATCCAAATCTGCCCGCCGCCAAACCATCCCCAGAAGTCGCGATCCGCACATATACGCCAGGCACGTTATTTTTTCTTTTCCTTGTACAAGCCGGAAATGGTAGCCAAATCCTTTCTGAACTCAAAGTACCCAGGTACCCACGGATTAATTAGCTTATATAAGCTTTGGTACTCCTCAGCAGAAGCAGCAACAGCAGGTTATGCATCGCCATCAAAAGAATAATCGGCAGGAGCCGCCGGCTCTATGACCAGAGCCATGGCTGGTATACTCCCATGGGAAGCAGCGGAAGTCACAAACTTTTTACAGCTTGTCGGAACGACGTTGCCACGTCCGAAATATTCATCAGCTGCGAAATCGACATATCTGGGCACATTGCCAAGGCTGGTTAGCGCTTTTTGGCACCGATCGAAGACTAAGATATTGTTCATTATTTAACCCTGCGACCATGGAGGAGGTTCACTTACCCAACTTCCCATCCACTGCTAAGACCATCTACAACTGTGCACTTTCTTCTCCTCCTACTCGTGGTAGTGTTAATAATTGTCTGCTGATGTGTATCGAATATTGTGACCAAAAGAAGCAGAGTGTTTTCCACTTCTGTCAGCCGAGGGATAAAGATTGGACCACACAACTAGTGGAGCCGCAACAAGGTCAATGCTGGGACGACGAGAATGCCCATCTCTTCCGTTTCCACCACATTGTCAGCTTCAATGGCGAGTTATATGTTGTTTCAATGTGCTGTCACAGCCTCTTCAGGGTTAAGTTGATGATTGACAAACATAGTATTAATGATGTCTCAATCAAGTTACTTGATCTCAAGTTAAGGAGACCGGACCGGCCTTGGGCGCACTTCATTAGGACCACTATGTTGAGAGCTTGCTTCCTCGTTCAGGCCTCACCTACTGAACTAATGGGTGTTGAGCTACACTACGGTGACAACAGAGGCACTGACTTAAGCATTGAGACTCGTGTCGAGGGCTTGAAGATTGCTGTCAAGAAAATTGAGCTGTATAAGGTCAACTTCCAGGACCAAAGGTGGGAACACGTGGAGACTTTGCCCGAGGACACTGCAATCTTCTTAGGCTCCCATAGCGATACAGCAGTCTTTTATAAAATTCCAAGAAGACCAGACTTGGATGTGGGAGGACTTGTTCGTGGGAACACGGTGTACTTCATGCCAACAAGAGACGGGTATCTTTATGCGTATGATGTTGGAGAGAGAAGTATTAGTGTCTCGTTACCATGTCCTAATGCTAACAGACATGATTATACTGAACCGGTTTGGATCATGCCCCTAGGTTGCTCGTCTTCAACCGTTGGTCCTGAACGGGAAATAGTAGCAGCCTTTAGAGATGATAGGGGAGACCATGAATACGAAAATCTTGCCTGATGAGATTGGTAGTGAGCAGATTTTGTTGGCAGACAGCAACTATAGCAGTACTGACGATGGGCGACATTGGTGGTCTAACATTCCAATTGACCTTCTTTCTGATATACTATCTCGTTTATTTGTAGCCGATCGTTGCTTTTTTCGTCTTGCTTGCAAACCATGGAATTCAGTATTCTCTAACGCTGTCTCTACATCATCAAATGATCAATTTGCAAGGGATCACTCATTTCCAATCCTCATACATAGAGGATTAGATGGGGAGGTGGTCACTGTATTCCACCCAATAACAAGTATTACCACTATCTTGTCTTTAGATGGTTTGAGTCTGAAAGGCGCAGTCATTCGCTGCTCCAAACACGGGTGGTTGCTAATGTCTCAAGTACGTCAGGGTGATCAACTGTTCTTCTTCAATCCTTTTACCAAAGAAAGGATCAACATTCCTAGCATGCCATATGACTTTGAAGGGATTACATTCTCGTCTCCTCCAACATCCGTTGACTCTATGGTTATTTGCTACACAGCTTCGCAGCAGCAAGTGGTGATATTCTTTATTTACTGAGGGGAGCATGAGTGGAGTCGATATGAAGTAATGAGCGACGGTATTGATTTCAAGAGCCCTTTCAGTAATCCAATTTACCACAAGGGATTACTATATTTTATGGGAAAGAATGCAGATCTTTGCATTCATAACTTTGAACAAAGAGCCAACAAGATCATAGAGTTTCCTGCTAGATCTTGTACACCAATAAGAAGAAGCTATCTGTTAGAGTGCAATGGGAAGCTTTTGTCAGTGTTGATAGGCCACATGGGGAAATTTCTGCAAGTATATGCACTCAATCAAGAAACCATTGCTTGGAAAAAGCTGGATGACCTCGAAGATAAGATGCTGTTTGTGAGCGCTACTTCTGCATTATCAGCAACAAATAGCAGAGATAGGATTTCGGGCTTGGGAAACAAGGTGTTTTTGGACAGGTTCAAGGAGAAGGATGGTGTGTTCTATTCTCTGGCAACAAAAAGGTTTCATACTTTTTGGAGCGGATACAACAATGATGATTGGTGTAACACCAAAGAATATTTAAATTGTACATGGATCGAACCAAGCTTCAAAACACACACGAAAGATGAGCTTCAATGGTAATGGTTTGATCTGTAGTTCTTGTAGAAGAAACATCAGGCGATTGGGAATTCGTCCATAACCTGTAATCTAGAGCAGTTTTTTCTTAGTTATTTAGGATATATCTAGTAGAGTTCTTTTACTTTAGAGATGAATTGGAGCAATCAATAGAGAGCTATTTTAAATATTTTTCATGATACCCACAACAGTTTATTCATGACTTGTGGCTTTGCTCTGGCTTCCTTTCTCTCTTTCATTTCTCTAGCTTTGGTTTCCTATTTCTTGATGCAGTTGGGGTGTGCATGGGTGAATTGTTTTCTTGGGTTAGGGCTGTTTTCATTTCTCTTTACAGAGCTTTGCTCCAACATCAGTTTAGTGAGCTTGTGGTTGATCAGTTCTCATGTTAATACTCTGGTTTCCTTTCCCTTTTTAATTTCTCTTGCTTTAGTTTCCTATTTCTTGATGCACTTGGGGTTTGCCTAAATGATTTATTGTCTTGTGTGACAGTTGTGGGTTTGGTTGATTATAATCACTTTGCCTCTCTCATTCCTAACTTAGGAGTTCAAACTTGATTTGTTAATTGTGTATCTATTTTGTATCTTGGGTTCTACTTTGTTGAGAATCTTTGCACAACTTTCCAGACTTACATGTGTGGCCATGTGTGGCCTGCTCTATGTTTGGCAACAAGAGGTGCAAGTTCGATGGGTGCAAGTTAAGGGATAAATTTAGGGATGGCAATGGGTCGGGTTGGGTTGGGTTTTGCCAAACCCAAACCCAAACCCATGGGTTTATCTTTGAAAAAAATCCGGGGTAAAACCCACTGGGTTTGAAAAACTCAAACCCAACCCAACCCGTTGGGTATCCGCGGGTTCATGGGTACCCACGGGTTTTGTCGTAAAAAATTTACAATTACAAGTTCTTATCAAAATTAAAGTCAAATATCAATCTCTCAATACAAATTATCCATATATAAAACACCACTCTAGAAAATTCAAGCAAATCACAAATTAAATATACAAATTGTTCAACACCAATCTAGAAAACTCAAAAAAAAAAATTGAAGCAAATCACAAATTTTCCATAAATAACATGTTTAATTGAAAGCTTCTTCCTTTCAATTAAGTTTCTTTACTCTCCACTCCATAACATCAACTTCATTCTACACAATTAAAAAGAAAAAATTAGACATGTCTCCACAAACATAAATAAGATTAGTTATTTAGAATATTAAATATACCGAAAAAGTTAATTATATGGGTGGGCGGGTACCCATGGGCCGGGTTTACCTAAACCCAAACCCAACCCAACCCATTGAATAGTGAACGGGTTTAAACCCAAACCCGGCCCAAAACCCGTCAACACGGATTTTACCCGCGTTGACCGGATTGGGTCGGATGGGTACCCGTGGGTTCGGGTTTTGTTTCATTTCTCTTCACAGATCTTTGCTCCAACATTAGTTTAGTGAGCTTGTGGTTGATCAGTTCTCATGTTAATACTCTGGTTTCCTTTCCCTTTTTAATTTCAAGAGTTTCCTGTTTCTTGATGCAGTTGGGCCTAAATGATTTATTGTCTTGTGTGACAGTTGTGGGTTTGGTTGATTATAATCACTTTTCCTCTCTCATTCCTAACTTAAGGAGTTCAAACTTGATTTGTTAATTGTGTATCTATTTTGTATCTTGGGTTCTACTTTGTTGAGAATCTTTGCACAACTTTCCAGACTTACATGTGTGGCCATGTGTGGCCTGCTCTATGTTTGGCAACAAGAGGTGCAAGTTCGATGGGTGCAAGTTAAGGGATAAATTGTTAGGGGTGCAACTTGGTGGGGGTGTAAGTGGAGGGATAAATTGTTGTTTGAATGAAAAAGTAGTGGGGTGCAAATAGAATGAAAAATAATTAATTATACCTCTTTTTCTCTCTTCTCTTTCCTCTCGTGAAGTCACCGACTAGGGTTTCGTTTTCTCGCCGTAATGGCGGCCTCTCCGTCGGCCTCTGCACCGACGGGAGAGGCGGCGACATGGGTGTCTCTCTTTGATATCCCTTCGGCTAATAGGATGAAGTTTCATCCTCCGGAAAGGGTGAATAATGGTTTTCTAATAAATTTGACAAACGAATAACGAACACACAAAACCGATTTACGTGGTTTTCCTGTACAATGAGAACGAGACTAGTCCACAGAGAGCATGAGCTCTCAGTTCTTTTATTGATATTAGTTTTGATACAGTAGTCAGCCATCAACAGGAAACAAGGCCTTAAATATGAAAAACTTAAACCTAATACCCTCAAAGACAAGTGTTTCGGGATTAGGAGGAAGGAAAGAATAAACGACCAAAACTAACCAGTCGGGTTGGATACCCGGCCCAGCCCAACGATCCGTAATACTCCCCCTCAAGTGGAGGCATGGAGATCGAACATGCCAAGCTTGGACATAAGATGACGAAAGTGGTCCAAGCCGAGACCCTTATTGAAGAGATCTGCTGGCTGATCATTCGTGGCAATCTTGCGTGGGGCGATGTTACGAGACTGCACACACTCACGAACAAAATAGCAATCCATTTCCACGTGATTAGTACGCTCATGGAACACTGGATTGGCGACAATATGGAGAGCAGACTGACTGTCGTAGTAGAGCGACGTTAGACTAGACTGAGGAGCACCAAGATTAGAAAGAAGCCAACATAACCAAATGATCTCGCTACCCATGCTAGCCATGGCACGATACTCTACTACAGCCGAAGAACGTGCAACCACATACTATTTTTTGGTGCGCCAGGAAACAGGAGCAGAACTCAAACGCAGGAAGAAATCTGTGGTTGACGGCGCGTCGTGGGGCAGACCGCCCAATCGGCATCGCAGAAACCAGTGAGTACCAACGAGTTCTGGGTAGCAAAGAAAAGGCCACTACCAGAGACTTCTGGAGGTATCGGAGAACACGATGGGCTGCATCCCAGTGAGCTTGAGTAGGAGCATGAACCGCCTGACTCATAAGGTTGACAGTGTAGGTGATGTCGTATGTCCCTAGCTGATAAATAGATGATGGTGTCTGAAATTGTCAAGGATTTGACTCCAAAAGGATACGAGTAACCAAAAGTACAGTGATACTGATAATCACTCGTTTCAAAAGAGAGAAAAAGTGCTGAAAAAGGTTCGATTCATCTTGGTCAAATCGGATATGTAATTATTGGAATATTTGTTGGAGACTCAAATGGTGGATATGCAAGCATGATAACCTATATGCTCTTCTATATCTCCATGAATCTAGCTTGACTTTGTCCATGTCAACAAACAATTCAAAATGCCTCTTTTTTTTAGAACAGGTCCGAGTCAAATAGCAATGATTTGAAGCACTTCTTTTTACACTATATTCGAGACCTAAGGACTCAATTGTATGGATATGTAAAATAAAGGATTTCCAATCCTAGCAGGAAAATGAGGGAAATGGATAATCAATTTAAAGTGAGTAAATAGAATTCCATACTCGATCTCATAGATACATATAGAATTCTGTGGAAAGTCGTATTAGAAACATAGTCTCGCTTTAGGCATTGCAGTCGCGCTAGTCTCGCTACTCGTTGTTCTATTCAGTCAATGGGAGGAATAGAATCCAAAGATCTTTGCCTTTAGTTCCAAACCTTTCAGTCAAGCTGGCAACGCTCCTCTAGTTCCCTACTTTTTTTTGTTTATGAAAGAATTTCTGCTACTGAAGGACATGTCACAGTGAGGTAGAGTAAACGACCGACCAGACGACGAAATGCATTGGGGTCTGTGGCAGGAGGAGACTCATGACAGCCGATTTGATGATCCTGCTCAATTAGTGAAGAACATGGCCGCGTGGCCTGAAGAACAGAGTCAGCGAGTATGTTCAAGACATATTTGCGTTGGTTGATAA